CACTAGCGGCAGCGCCGTCCAAGTCGGGGCCGGTACCTTAGTCGGGTGGGGTGGGTACAATTGGGGATCCACCAGACCCTGAGACAGTGCGCAGGGTGTTGGTGGAGATTACGTTTCGACACGGTAACGGACAACAGAAATAAGCAGTCGCCACACAGTGCTCGCGACCAGTCTCAGTTCTTGACCTCATTCCCTGCCTCCTCAGATTGTTGTTTCACGAGCGTCCGCAACGGCCACCAGGACCCCCAGTCATCAGAACGCACGCACCAAGAGTCCTCGCGACCTTGCCTTGTCTGTGGTGGTGAGGACGAAGGCGAGGTGCTACGGCGCAAGTAAGGTGAGAGCAGGACCAGCCTAGTATTTACCTAGGCACCTAGGTTACTAGGTAGGCTTCTTACATACCTAGACACTCAGGAGAGGTGAGCCCGGCAAGTACCTTATGATTGATGTGTGCCGACTGGTCCACTCACATCCAACTGCAATGGAATTGGCAGGGCCTGGAGACATTACCTAGATAGACATGGAAGAAGAGAGAGAGAGGCCCGCTGGCCCGCCGCCGACTCGCCTTGCGCCTTCTGCTTCTGGACGCGGCAGACGGAAGCAATCAGCGACCTTTCCTTACTCAGACTCTCCCAGTAAGGGTAGGTATGCGTGTATACCAACAGGTATCCGTAGGTACTCCGTAGTGTAAGACGGAACAGTGATCAGAGACTAACCTGAAGTGCCTACCTTAGGTGGAAAGAGCAAGGGTTTATTGGAGTACACCGGCCCCCCCGCCCCGTTTTCCACATCATCCACTCTTTTTTTTCTCTCTCTCTCTCCCGTTCCAAGTCCCTTTTTTATTTCTTCCTCGTCCAGTCCAGTCGCTCCTTCCCCCGGTCCATAGTCACATTCTCGGCCCAGGATTCGTTCGTTCATCGACCCCCATCCCCTGTCGCCCACCCCCATCCTCGTTTTTTTCTTCCCCTTCCCTTCCCGTCGTCTCCAAAACTGCTGGCTTGCTGCTGCTGATGCTTGCGCTGCCGCACTGCTCCTGCTTTGCTGCTCCCGCTCCCCGATTTCCACCTATTCCATCTCTTTGCCGCATCCTTACTGGACGGAAGTGCTCACTCACTCATTTACTGCTGCTACTGCTGCTGCTGCTGCTGCTACACACTCTTCGTCACTGGGCTTGTCTTGCCTTGCCCCCATTGCTCCTGCTACTACGACCTTACCTTACACCTGAGGTACTGCACTCCGCACCGGGCTGCTGCACCTAATACTGTTACTTCCCCCTCCACCACCCACTCCCATTCTTTTTTTCCCCCTTCCCTCCTTCAACTGTCCTGCCTTCCCGCACCCAAAAAGTGAACACGATCGCGTCTATTATTAGAATCATCCACGCCAGATTCAGCCCCATCGACCTGCACCTCACATCGCCTGTCCATCCCAGAACCTGTCGCATCTGCTCTTGTAATGGGATCAATGTACGTTCTTGATGCGTCGTCTTCTCACCTCCATCCCCTGTTCTGACAGCCTTCACCTCCCACCGCTTGTCATAGACCGTTGCTCCCGGGATGCGCTGCCTTGTCCCATGCAACCACTGACTGACGCATCGCCAGTTCGGAACCACTGCCCACGAGCCAGCCCATTTAGATAAAAGCGATCAGCCCTCCCCGGCCTAGCTTTTGTTTCCACCTCGCTTCGTCGACAAGCCAAGCTAGTCGCTGCGATCAGATATATCCAGCTCGAGTCCCTCCTCTTGCGAGCTTCAACCCGTCTCCCGCCTCTTCGAGACCCTCATCTTCACCCTCACCATCGTCTAGGACCAGTCGACCCTACATCGCGCGACTGTAACGGCTGAGAATCTCGCCGACGACGCCGCCGCCGCCGCGACATCGCTGATCGGCAACGAAGTCGCTCGTCTCGACAACGTCTTCGCCTGCATACAACGCGTTTCGCTGCCTCACACCCGTCGACAGCCCACCCAAAGCATCTGATTCAAGATGGGACGCAGAAAGATTGAGATCAAGGCCATCAAGGATGACAGGAACCGCTCTGTGTAAGCTTGCGCCCTGACTATCCCTCGCCATCATACCCATGGACCTCTCGCTGACTTTCGCGTCACGTATAGCACCTTTCTGAAGAGAAAAGGCGGTTTGTTCAAGAAGGCGCATGAGCTTTCCGTTCTCTGCTCCGTGGACGTCGCTGTCTTTATATTCGGCAGCAACAAGAAGTTGTATGAGTATTCTTCCACGGATATGCGGGAGATGATTACCAGATACACATACGTGAGTTTCTCCATTTCTTCCAGGCCGCGAATGCGTAACGCTAACCCTGAGATAGCATGGCGGCCCGAATGAACATAAGGGCCCTTCAGACTTCAACGGAGGCAACGACGAGGACGAAGATGAGGATCCTGAAGGCACGCCGCCCCAAGAGTCTCACATGATTCCGCCTCAATTTCAAGGACAAGCGCCCTTCCCTCATATGCGACACCACACTCCCTCAGCTTCACCTCCGATTCCTAATGGCGTGTCTTTCCCGCAACACCATGGCCTTCCCGTGCAGCGCGGCCACACCCCGCAGCCTGGCATGGGATCACGGCCTGGTTCTCGACAGGACATCCGCCGGATGGGACCGAACATGGGCCCTCAACCCGTCGGCCCTCCCGGATCTCAGCAGCCTCCCGTCAATGGATTTGCCTACATGCCCAACCCCGCCATCTACAATCCCCAGAACCAGCCCAATATGCCGCCAAACATGCCTCACGGACTCCCCCAGCAATATCAGCAACATGGACCTCAATACCCCTCCTACGCGCCCAACCATCATCCCCCGCACATGCAACAGCACATGGAGGACCAGCGCCGTTCCATGCCGCCAAACTATCCGCAACAGCAGGGTCCGCAAGGACCTGGGCCTCAAGTTTCTCGGATCTCGCCGTCTCCGCCACAGCCTCCCACTCAGCAACTGCCGCCGCAACCACCTCACATCTCACCCCCGCCGCCACAGCCACAGCAACTTGAGCCTCAACAGCAGCAGCAGCAGCATCCGCATTCGTCGCCCCAGCCTCAGCAACACCAACAGCCGCAACCACCTCAGTCTCAACAGCAACAGCAGCCGCAACAACCTCAGCCTTCGCCGCCGCAGTCTGAAGAGATGCCTGCGCCGATGGAGCCACGATCCGAGCTGCCTCAAAGACCTCAGCCGCCTCTGCTCAACACTGACAGCGCGATCAAGAAGCTTCCGCAGCGCAAGCAGCACAGCATCTTCACTCCAATTGACGAGAACCGCTCCATCCTGTCTCAGCACTTGGCTTCATTCGCCTCTGAGCAGAGCATAAAGGCAGAACCTAATCGACCCCCATTCCCTGATCAGAGCAACATCAAGGTTGAAGGTAACCGCTCTCAGTCAGTTGATGTTGGCGCAGTATCTCGGACCAATGGTTCCACGACTTCTCCGCCCATGCCTCCGCGCGCCAGCACTCAATCTCTAAACAAAAGCCGCAACATCTCCGTATCGTCAATCCCAGAGACAACGTTTACTCCGCCATCTCGCACCAATAGCATGAAGCTTGGTGGTGGTGCGCGTCCCCGTTTGAGGGTGGAGATTCCCGACGAACCTTCGGATGGCGGTAGCGCAACTGCCGAGTCAAACTCTCCTCGCAACTCGACAGATACCACATCCCAGACGACTCGGCGCCATGCATCCGACTCGCACTCTTCCGGCATGGTTCTGCCGCCGCCATCCCCGTCAGCTCAAACGCTCCTCTCAGCTGGCGCCACGGGCCCGCCAAACCCGTTTGCTCGCCCACCCCCGCAACAAAACAACAATATGAACATTGACACACCCGTTTCCGCCCTTCCGTCCCGATTCTTAAATAACGAATTTCTGCCCAGTCCGAGCAGCTTTTATCCGGAATGGTATGCTCGTGGCGGCAGCGATAGTAACACACTGCCCAGTCCGTTGAACTTTGCGACTCCCGTCGTTGGTTCCGGTCCTAGCTTCTTACGAGACGATAATCAGACCACGAAGCGCAAGAGTCCTGAGATCAGTGCCAACGGTCCGCACGACGGTCCTGAGTCAGGAAACGAACCCAAGAGGATCCGGGTAGATTCTTGATTTCAAGTTTCTCTTCTTTTTTCGATGCTTTTTTCGACGCCTTATCTGTACCATTCATCTGCATTCTGGCCTCCTTCAGACCATGTATGGAGTGCACTTGGTTCTATGATACCTCTTTCTTTTCACCTCACGGCATTAGCGTCACGTAAGATGTTTAGTTTACCTTCTCTTCTATATCTCTGTGTTTGGCGGAGGATCATGCTGCATTGCTAGGCGCAACATCGGCCACGAACAGGGTTTGATTCACTTTCTTCTTTTTTCTTTCTTCATTCGGACTGATGAGCACTGCTCTTCGTCTTCGAAACGGCTTTGGGAGACTGATGTGCACACGGACATGTGAGATGACTGGAAGCATGGAAAACTGGCCTGCAGCAGAATGTGGAGGATCCCGGGGCGTTTGGCGTGATTTCTGTAGATTACTGAAGGCAATGGCTGAATAGTGAGAATGAACTGTTGATCTACAATCGTGCGTGTTCATCCAGACCCGTGATGTGTGTGTATAGAGATTAGCCAAGATCTTGGCGCTAGTGACTTTGAGACCGTCTCGCGGCGCGGCCCGTGGATACGCGAGCTGAATGTGCCCTTTTGATACGGCATGGCGACATCCTTTTTCAGGGTGAACATGATATAAACTGACTTCAAATCTGAAAGTCGAAAAGTGGCGCGTGGGCGCGTCTGCTTGCAGGTCCGCAGAGGCAGCCTACGGTGTAAAAAAAAAAAGCATCCAGCTACACCTACCTCGCCGAACAAGTCACGGCCCCTGTCAAATGCGGCTCCTTCCACAACACATTCTATAACAAGCACAGACGACGCGCACGATTCAGGAAAGGAAAACAAAAGACAAGGGCTTATCTTTGCTGGGGAAAAGGAAGAGGAGACACGGAATCGACAGAGCAATGTTTACGCCGGCAGCAAAACGCCGACGTGTCGACGCGGCAAACGAGACGCTCCGGAAACCTTTCAGGTCGCCCCTGGTGCGGGACCGAGACCCAGGCCCAGGCCCAGGCCCGGACCGGAACCGGGATGGCAGCACCGCGGCGGCGGCGGATCCTGCGGCTGAAGAAGAAGAAGATGACGACGATGGTACGGCACCGACCGCATCCACCGCGGCGGCGGTAGCGTCATCGCCATCTGTGAGGGTGGCCACCGGCGTGAAGACGGGAGGAGTAGCCGGTTTTGCCACGACGACGACACCACGGCAAGGGACAACTTGGAAGGCCACGCCCGTGAAGCAGAAACAGACGATCAGCACGCCTACGCCTACACGTCGGCCCTTTAGCGTTCCGCGACCTCACATCTCGCAGACGGGGGTTTCGCCTTCGCCGCTGCGGACGACGGCGGCGGGGTTCGTCGGTGCTAGGAGGACACAGGCTCCCGGGCTCGTTGGTGGTAGTATGAAGAGTGAGAGGGAGGCGGAGGGCAGGGAGGAGATTCTGCGGCAGGCTGAGCGGATCCGCGGCGTTGGGGTCGGCGCTGTGGGTGGGACGAGTGCGGGTGAAGGGGGGGAGACGGACGAGGAGCTTGTTGAGTTGATTGGCAAGTGGAGGGCGGCGAGCCGGATTGCGGCGGAGGAGGTGTTTGAGGGGTCCCGAGAGAGGGTTGAGGGGATGGGGGGGTTGAAGGCTTGGAGGAGGGCGAGGAGGGAGGATGAGGTGAGGTTTAGGGGGATGATGGAGGAGGGGGAGAAGGGTGTTGGGAAGGGGAGGGGTTGTGAGGAGTGGGAGGAGGGTGATGATGGGGGAGGAGGAGATGAGGGTGAGGGTGAGGGTGAGGAAGAAGAGGAAGAGGAAGAGGTGAGATTTTCTTTCTTCGTAAGGAGGACTGGGAAGTAGAGGACGGAGAGGATGAGGTTTTACTGACTTGTGAGACAGGAGTTCACGATGGGGACGATGCTTCGGAGTATGAATATCGATTTTGAGATTATCGGGTATGATGAGGATACTGGGTGGTGGAGGGACGGGTGATGGGAAGCGGATAACGGATTTCTTCACTTGCTCTCGTCTTCTTCTTTCTTGTCGTTGTCGTTGGCGATTAGAGACGAGACGAAGCGGACGTATCCGTGGTACATGACGACGACGGGCACACGGCTCACAGACTACGTTACGTCTACAGAGTAGGCTCGAGGGTTTTTGGCATACCAGCTCGGGACTCTTTTGGCCGATTTCTTTTCACATCTCGGATCATAACAGGCTGCGAGGCGATGAAGAGTACGGAGAAGAGGGATACAAGCTGTGTTAGTATCCTTCCGCAGGTGCTACAGAGAATATGCTGCTCGCTTGCTTCCTTCTTTCCCTTCTTGGTGTTTTACCTACTCTGCATCTAGCCTTGTTGATGGAGTCTCTCTTTTGGGGAGGTGGCCTGTGAGCTTCTCCGGCTCGAGATCCGAACCGGCGGCCGAGTGAAATCCAAACTCAAAGGTCTCTCGCTCGGGGAGAAGGGCGATGGGATGGGCGGGCTCTGAGACGTTGTCATACTACATACAGCCCTGCATTTCTCTAAAGTAGGCAAATCGGTCTGAACGTGGAAGGCGGCAAAAAGGGTGCCTGTGCTTTCTTCGGCGAGGGGTTGCCGGGCGAGCTTGTTTCCTTCTTCTCCTTCAACATACTAGGGTGGTAGCAGAGCCATTGTGATGGCATGGTGGTGTAGAGGAACTGGAGATATTGAGACGTGGGACGATGTTTTCTACAAGGATATACCCCCGACTGATTCTCATTGCATGGCGTTGTTGGCCTCACAATCAAGCTTCATCTTTACGCTTCTTCTTCTTTTTTCTGCTAAGCTTTACTGAGGGCCCGTGTTGGTTTGTAAGTGTCAATGTGTACCCTTACCACCCTGAGCGAGGGAGGGAGTGATGATGATGATGATGATGATGATGAAGTGTGTAAGTGAGCCGACATCCGGCCCCCTTCCATCCATCCATCCATCCATCACTTACACTCACGCTGAAAGCTCACACCCACCATGTTCGTTCTCGCCTTGCTGAACCATGATCGGCTGACGAGAGTTGTGGCTGACGCAGGCCGATTGATCCGATGTTCCTGTTGGGGGGATGGATTTTGGGGCAGGGGCTTTTTTCTTTCTTTTCCATTGTGTACGAACAATATCCGTAATGTAGAGTTTTTTTGTCGGGGTTTGGATAGTGACGGTCGGATATTGGCGTCTGGTCGCTTACATGGTAAGTTTGGGCTGCCTTACGTACCCCAGCCCATTTCCTTACTCGCCCTGGGTTCTTACGAGTGTGGTATTACGCGTTATTGCAAAGTAAGGTCAATTTTGATCACTGAGTTTTCAGTGTACGGATTTGGGTACGGGAGCAAACATTAAGAAAGAGGAATTCGTAAACGGAAGCATTGCGTGATGCTTACAACCGAGAACGAAGAGACGTGAGATGTGCCTCCGCGGGCGTTTAGGCCCGAAACGGGTTCCGATGAACTCACCTTGTGGCTTCACCTCGTTCAGCCGGTGGGATTGGGTGGTTCTCGACTCTTGAGCCATCGCTTGTCTGATATGGCTGAGGTGGATAATACCGGGGCACAGTGAGCGAGAGCGAGGACGGGGGTCTCGGACAGTGGACGAGTGAGTTGCTTTGAAGCACAACAAGCCGCCGCCGCCTGTTCGGTTTCCCTATCTGAAGAGCTTATACCACACCATTGGTGACCTGTCCTAAACAACTACCTGTGCTGTGAAGTAGGGTCAGGTGGTATCGATAGCGGGTTCACTTGGAGGCTGAGAATTCGGGACGTTCATATCCACAGTCCAGTGTCTCGTGTACGATGGAAGCGTCTCGCCTTGTGTTCGCAGTGCGTATTGTGGTTTGTTGTTGCTGTTCTTTCCCTCTCAGTACGGACACACTACAGATACAGAGGCTGTCAGAAGGGACCTCTAAGCCTTCTCAATTACCAACGGGTGATTGGGCACTATGTGTCGTAGGGTGGTTCGCCGTTCGGGACCCGAGGTGGATGAAACGACTCTGATGCTTCAGCGCTGCCGCAGATTTGCACGAGCCGCACCTCAACCCCCCCCCCCCCCTCTCCCCTCACGCTCCTGCAGTATTGCTGCTGCTGCTGCGCTCCCCGACGCGGGCAACGAGCGAACGAAGAGCAGTGTCCCAGTGGTCCCACTACATTAAGGTACCCGTGGACGGGTGTGGGGCCACTGTTAACAGCGACACCTCAGCCAATTGGCCCGGTTTCCACCCTTTCCAACCTCCCAAAACTCGCTCTCCCCTGCACCAGCCATGCGTCGTGGAGAACAGAGTTAACGATGCAGGCCGCCGACCGACCACCCCCCATGTCCGAGCAAAATAGGTAGCAAATGGTGGGAACAGACTGAAGAGAACAGGAAAACACAGAGAGAGGGACCGGACGATCCAAGCCGGGGGGTGTCATTTCTTGTATCAGTGATTGGGGCTGGGCTGGCAAGCAGGCAGGCCTCCCTCCCGTATTGTTTAATCCAAGTTTCCTCCTACTCTGTTTGTTCTGGTTCAGTTTTCCTGCTGGTTCAAATATATCATCTACCCGTTGCACTTCAAAAGTCTTGGCAACAAAGCCAAGTTTCTTCACAACACATACTCCGTACACGCTCACAGCTACCCTTGCTCCGCGGTCGTTTTTGTGCCAATCTTTAGCAGCAGGGTATCTCTCTCTCAACTTGGTCTCGTCCTCTTTTGGCGTAGTTGATCTGCAGCCTTTTTCCAACAATACTTCGTCACCTTTTTCATCAAAAGGCTTGGGGGTTCCAAACCGAAATAGACTCGACGTCTACCAGTACTGAGGGGAACTGGATAGGAAAGGGAAAACAAAGGGGGGAGGAATACGCAAAGGGGCGAATCGCACTCTCCCGTAGTCACATTCACACAACATGGACGCCGCATACTTGAGCGCTCGTCAGACCGTGGTCAACTCGAATGACCTCCCTCCCGGCTGGGTTATACAGAATGGACGGGCGATTCCATGGTGGTACAGTCGGGTAAGTTCATCCACAACCAGTCATCCCTCTGCACCAATCTTCCCAAGCATACCGTAGTCTAACATTACCTTTAAATAGACGGGCGTCATCGTAAAGTGGTCCGTCTTCCTCGGCATGACGACCCTCTTCGCAGCCTTCCTCATCATCGGTTACGCCCACGGCAAGCGCCGTCTGAGAAAGGGCCTCCTGCCCCTGGGCTACCACCGCTGGCTCTTCAGCCGCGCCCAGCTCGCCCGCGTCGACAGCCGGTACGCCTGGCCCGCCGCCACCTACAACACCTACCGCCCCGAGTACTACAACACCCACCCGCAGGCCCAGGGCGGCGGCTACTACGGCATGCAGGGGATGCCGCCCCCGACCTACGATCCCAACTCGGCCCGGCCCCCCATGTACGCACCGCCCGACGGCGGCAGCAAGGTCGACCCGTCGCAGGAGTACGGCGTCACGCCACCGCAGGCCTCCGTTGCGGCGAACCATACCGGTCAGCCGTACCCGTATAGGGCACAGTGAGGCAGAGGGTGTTCACCGAGGCGGGAGTAGCGAGTGATTTGATGTTGTTGCGATGGCCATTTTTTCGAAGCGTAGGAGGAATATGCATTGCCGCTTAAAGACGAAACAAAGACGAGATGAGGCTGGAAATCATCAAGACGGGAGTGGGCAGCTGAGGATGGGATTTCACCAGGAAGTGATTTCTCCGTCAAAAAGCTGTCAGATCTCACACATCGAGGCTGCATGTCCAAATAGATGGGCAGCTGGATGCTTTTACAAATAACTGTTGTCAATTGTACAAAGTAGTAACTTCTACCAACACGAATCGAAATGATACCAATGAAAACGCTTAGGTGACCTGGCTGAAGATGCCGGGGGTCTCGCAACAATACGTGCCCATTTGTGACGGCGTAGGGTATCGTCGTAAAATGCACAATCATTACTTGCCTTCAAGGGATCCCTAATCCATATCCATATCCATGGCGTCGGGATCGTAGTCTACAGGCGCCAACATGTCGGTTGGAGTTGGGGGGTCTGGAATGATGGCGTCTACGGGTCGCTGAGAGACGAAGGGCGGAGGCATCTGCACTGGGGCGCCTCTGCCCTCGCGCTCGAGACGTTGCCTCTCGCGCATGCGGGCGCGTGACTCGACAATGGCCTTGCGAACGCTGTCCTGGTCACGAGGCACCGTCAAGGATGCGGGCTCGTTGTAGAGGACTACCTGCATGCCAGCAAGCTGGCCTTCGTCGTTGGCTAAAATGGAGGGAGGAATGCGCGTCTGGCGGAGGTGCTTCTCAATGTCCGGGAGAAAGACCAGCTTGCCCTCGTCGGGTTCGCTCTCGGAGGAAGATAGTTCATCGTCAATATTGTAAATGTAGACCTTGTGCTTGGAGTCGTCGAGCTGCATCACTTCTTCATCGACGGACGGTTTGCGATCACGACGTCGGCGACGGGTGGTGGGAGATGTGGAGGCTGACGACGAGTCTGCGGGGGTTGGGATGCTTGAAGACGGAGTCGGCTCCTCCACGGGCACATAGAGCTTCTGGCCATTCTTCTCTGCAGAATGCGTTAGTATGAAAACGGCAAAAAAAAGCTTGTCATGTTGTGGTTGTCGACTTACCTAGATTCAAAAGACTGAGCCTTTTAGACAAACGTTCGTTGTCTTGGGACTCAGCTTTTCGTTTGCGCCTTAGCTGCCTCGCCTGCGGATGCGGATGCTGGTGCTGATCCGCCTCCAGCGCGTGGGTGGGAGATTGGGCCCCGTGCAGTAGCATATTTCGGCGACTTTTGCTGGAACTTTCCCTCCTTCCTCTCTGTCTTTTGTCCAACAGCTTCTTCTGGCGTACCACCCCTATTAGCACTACCAGCTCCCTGTTCCGCAGAGCTACTGACCGACGACAACGACGACGATAATATTCGGAAACAAGTGCGATGGTCAATTGTTCAAATTCCCGAGGCAGCCACTAGAATCGCAGCAAAAAGAGACACGACAGGCGCAGCTGAGCAGCGGGCGTAACAGAGGTGCTGCCAATCGGGTCCGAGGTTCTCAAAAGTGAGCTTGAGGGAGAACAAGAGAGGGGGAAAGGTACGGTACGGCTGATATCGAATCGCCGTTTCCGGAAGGGTAGGGAATATCCCGTCGCAAAGCGAAGAACGCAAGCCCAAAGTCAATCCAAAGTCTCAAATGACTCTGGTGTGCTAAGGTCTTTGAACGGTGAGAACCGGAGAACAACTTCTCCCAGTGTTGGTTGTCTTATTGTTACGTTTCGTTGGTCAGAGGAGAGAGAGAGAGATTGTGTTTGAATCGGCGAAAAGAAGGGGGGAAGAAGAGGAAAAGAGGAGATCCGAGGCTCTCTCCTGCGCAGATCCAATTCGTCGATATATCTAAGGGTGAGGGGGAAAGCCTGAAGGAATCGAAGGCGGAGGAAGGATGACCTTCGCTACTACTGTTGCTGTGCTCGTACGAGGGGCGCGGGCGCGTTCTTCTCTGGCGTTCAGCTGTGGCGGACGTAGTAGCCACGAGCATCGGCTGCCACTGCCGGGGAGCTCTGGCGCTTTTGTACTGGCTTTGACTCATTCTTGTAGAAGTTTCCACGACAAGCGCGCCGGACCACCAGCTCCAGCACCGCCGTCCCTGCAACATCCGCAACCACAATCGCACCCGCATCTGCACCTGCACCCGCAACCAGGCCCCCCACCGCTATCGCTCCAGGCCCAGCTATCACTGGCACGGACGCCGCTGCCCCTCCTACCCCGAAGCAATGCAGCTGCCGCGCTAGCAAGCAGCTCATCCCGCCAAAAGAGTCACAGCTGTGCCGACCCTGATAAAACATCATCCCTCCCCTCATCACCATCAACAAACACTTTTTCCAAGAGGACTCGAGCGTCGGTTGGATCCCAGACAGATACCCACTCACCGTCTGGTCTCATCGCATCGAGTGCTACTTTTCCTTACAGGCGCTTTCACTCTACTTCTACCTTGCCCACTGCAGTCATGGCTGACCCAAAGTGGCCCGGCGCCGTTGTGCGCAAGACTTTCCTCGAGTTCTTCGAGAAGAGGGGCCACACCATCGGTATGTTATCACCGACTTCCCCATTTGTACTCAGCAACACGGCGCGATAGGGCAATCTGCCTCTTCTATGCTCCGTCTAGACATGGCGCTCCTCAGTTTGGCTTCAAAAATACCAATTGGCTAACCATCTCTGCTTTATCTCAGTGCCGTCTTCTTCCGTCGTCCCTCACAATGACCCCACCTTGCTCTTCACCAATGCGGGCATGAACCAATTCAAGCCTATTTTCCTCGGAACGATCTCAAAGTCGGATCCCATGTACCCTCTCAAGCGTGCGACCGACTCCCAGAAGTGCATTCGCGCCGGTGGCAAGCACAACGATCTCGACGATGTTGGCAAGGACAGCTACCACCACACATTCTTCGAGATGCTGGGCAACTGGTCCTTTGGAGATTACTTCAAGAAGGAGGCCATTGAGATGTCATGGGAGCTCTTGACCAAGGTCTATGGTCTGGATCCTGCCCGCTTGTACGTTTCCTACTTCGAGGGTAACCCCGAGATGGGTCTCGAGCCCGATCTGGAGGCCAAGAGCTTGTGGCAATCTGTTGGTGTCCCCGACGATCACATCTTGCCCGGCAACATGAAGGACAACTTCTGGGAGATGGGTGACCAGGGCCCCTGCGGTCCCTGCAGTGAGGTTCACTACGACAAGGTTGGCGGCGGTCGCAACGCCGCTCACTTGGTGAACGAGGATGACCCCATGGTCGTGGAGATTTGGAACAACGTTTTCATTCAATATGACCGCCAGGCTGATAAGTCACTCAAGTCTCTCCCCGCCAAGCACGTCGATACTGGCATGGGTTTTGAGCGTCTCGTCTCCGCTCTCCAGGATACCGTTTCCAACTACGCTACCGATATCTTCACGCCGCTGTTCAAGAGAATCGAGGAAGTCACCGGTGCTAGACCGTACACCGACAAGTACGGAGCCGACGATGTGGACGGTATCGACACTGCCTACCGTGTCATTGCTGACCACATCCGTCTTTTGACCTTCTCCATGTCCGATGGTGCTGTCCCCAACAATGACGGCCGCGGATACGTCCTTCGCAGAGTGCTCCGTCGTGGTGTCCGCTACGCACGCAAGTACTTCAACGCCGAGATTGGCTCCTTCTTCTCCAAGATTCTGCCCGCCCTTGTCGACCAAATGGGTGAGCAGTTCCCCGAGATTATCAAGAAGCAGCAGGATATCATTGAGATCCTTGACGAGGAAGAGGCCGCCTTTGCCCGTACCCTTGACCGTGGCGAGGCTCAGTTTGAGAAGTTTGCCAACGCGGCCATCAAGAAGGGCGAGAAGAAGCTCACTGGTGCGGAGGTTTGGAGACTTTACGACACCTTCGGATTCCCTGTGGATCTTACGAAGCTGATGGCCGAGGAGCGCAAGCTGGATATCGACGACGAGGAGGTTAAGGTTGCTCAGGAGAAGGCCCGCGAGGCCAGCAAGGTCGTCAAGAACGCCGCACAGACTTTCGCAAAGTTGAACGTTCACCAAATCGCTGAGCTTGAGCAGCAGCTCAACATTGCGAGAACAGACGACGAGGCCAAGTTTGGCAAGGGCGACTCAAAGGCCAAGGTGCAGATGATCTACGACGGCAAGGGTTTCATCAAGTCAACTGAGGGTATCGCTGAAAACACTCCCTTGGGTCTGTTGCTGGACAAGACCAACTTCTATGCTGAGTCTGGTGGCCAGGTCGCCGATTCTGGTCGCATCGTCATCGATGGCGTCGCCGAGTTCAAGGTCCTCGATGTCCAGAACTTTGGTGGCTACATTGTCCACAGTGGATACCTCGAAGATGGCAACTTGTCATCTGGTAACGAGGTCATCTGCGAGTACGACGAGCTGAGAAGATCGCCCATCCGCAACAACCACACTGGCACTCACATCCTCAACCACTCGCTTCGGGAAGTTCTCGGTGATGATATCAACCAAAAGGGTTCTCTGGTCGATAACGAGAAGCTGCGTTTCGACTTCTCTCACAAGACTGGCGTGACCATCCCTGAGCTCAAGAAGATTGAGGACTTCTCCAACGCGTACATCCGCCAAAATGGCAAGATCTACTCAAAGGAAGTAGACCTCGACCTTGCCAAGGGTATCGAAGGTGTTCGTGCCGTCTTTGGCGAGACCTACCCCAACCCAGTTCGTGTTGTGTCCGTCGGTGTTGATGTTGACACCCTCCTCGCAAACCCCAAGAACTCGGAGTGGCGCAAGGTCAGCGTGGAATTCTGCGGAGGTACTCACGTCGAGCAGACTGGCCTCATCAAAGACCTTGTTATCGTCGAGGAGAGCGGTATTGCCAAGGGCATTCGTCGTATCATCGCCTATACTGGTGATGCTGCTCATCAGGTACAACGCGAGGCCGCCGAGTTCTCCAAGCGTCTTGATGCCCTGGAGGCGTTGCCCTTCGGCCCCGAGAAGGAGCAGGAGATCAAGTCAACCCAGCATGCTCTCAACCAACTGACCATCTCGACTCTCACCAAGGAGGATATCAAGAAGCGTTTCGACAAGATTGTCAAGTCTGTCACCGATGAGCAGAAGAAGCGCCAAAAGGCCGAGTCCAAGACTGCGCTCGACACCGTTGCTGCGCATTTTGAGAAGAACAAGGACTCCAAGTGGTTTGTCGGTCAGCTCCCGATATCCGCCAACGCCAAGGCCATTGGCGAAGTTGTCAAGCA